GAGGGGGGGGGGGGGGGGGCGACACAAGCACTGAAGGGGTCCTCGGGGAGGCCTGAGGAGAAGGGGGGCCTGGGGGAAGTCTGAGGCCTTTCTTGAGGCCGGGGTTGCCTCAGAGCTGGTGGGGCTCCCCGGGGGTGCTGGGGCGGGGGCCATGAGGGAAAGGGGCGACAAGGGAGGGTGGTCGAGCAGAATCCGCGTTTTCTTCTCCCTCCACGTGGCGAGGGGTGTGGGGAGGGTCAGGGCCCCGTCGGGGTGGGATGGGTACCCTCGGGGCCGAGCGCCCACGCAATTCCCAGGCGCCTTCCCCGGGGTCCCGGGGGCGGCGAGGGAGGGTGAAGTGCAGCAGAGGATGTGCCAGCCGAAAGAGTAGGGGAGGCCTCACCCCCTGGGGAATTACCTTGGTGGGAAGGAGGGCCAAACGGCTTCAGGCTGCTGGTGTTACTGATGTGCGCAAGGAGCAGAGTATGAGAAATAGGACTGCAGCCCCGGGGAGCTTAAAATAACACGTAGGCAGCTTGATACCGTCGTGGTGTACGGAGCAAAGTATGAGTGTGAAGCTCCTCCATGCCGACTTGAAAAGCGTGGTTCTAGAACATTAATCTGTCCTAATATTCATTCTGCATTGCTTTCTTGGTTTCGCAGGATAATGTGGAGAGGGCAGATGCACTCCAGTTAACAGTGGAGGAATTTGTTGAGCGTTACGAAAAACCTTACAAGCCTGTAGTCTTGCTGAATGCTCAGGTGGGCTGGTCTGCCCAAGAGAAGTGGACTCTGGAACGACTGAAACGCAAGTATAGGAACCAGAAGTTCAAATGTGGGGAGGACAATGATGGTTATTCTGTGAAGATGAAGATGAAGTACTACATAGAGTATATGGAAACCACACGTGATGACAGCCCGCTCTACATCTTTGACAGCAGTTACGGGGAGCATCCCAAGCGCAGGAAACTCCTGGAGGACTACAAAGTACCCAAATTCTTCACTGATGATCTGTTTCAGTATGCAGGGGAGAAGCGAAGGCCTCCTTACAGGTATAGTAGCATGACAACAAGATAAAAATAGGTATTTTCCATTTCATTAGCTGTTCATATATAGGTGTGATTGCCTTTTATAAAACAAAGTGGTACCTTCACGTTTGGTATTTTGAAATAAGCATACATCTGTAACCCAGAGGGAGGGAAGGGCAGATTGGTATATTACAGTTTCTGGTTCTGCCACCAGTGTTGCTACAAGTTGTTGGTTTTTTGGGTTGTTTTTTTTTTTCAGTCAGTTTACCTCACTTCTTAGATCTAGAAAAAAAAAAAATCACATAGCTACTGAAAGTTATGAAGATTAATTTCTTGCTAAGTGTGCCTCTGGCTTTCAAATTTTCAGTACCTCAGGACTAGCTCCTGGGTTTTGCACCAGTGGCTTACATACATAGTAGGATTTTGTTTAATTATGAGTCAGTCCTTTTAAGGTAAAGATCTTAAGCTAGATTAGTGTGAAGTGTGGAGACCAGTTCTTAGCTCCCCTTCAGATGATTTTGAGAGAGAACAGTATTTCGCATCTATGTAGTCTTTTCAACTTCTCTTAATCAGATGCAAAAAAAAAAAAAAGGGTTGAAATGACACTTTGTTCCTGAAGTCAAATGCAACAACCTTGTATTTGGGCTGTTAGATACAAAAGGGATTTCTGGCTATGTTAATATAATGCTTCATAACAACAATGAGCATAAGCTGAATGCTCCCTAGTAATTAAAGTCTTTACAGCTACATTATAATTGTCAGAGAATGCCTTGCCCTTTGAGCAATGTGAGGCTGTGATGTGGGGGTTTTATTGTTTCTTTTTTTTTTATTTATTTAATAAAGTAGAACAAGTTATGAATAGTGGTACTCTCTCTGCAATCTTTCATGTGTCTGTAGTCCAGTTGTGCTTTTGCAGGAGAGAAGCATGAAACCAATTCTATTTAAGATCCCTGAAGTAGGTGTTTTTACAGTGCTGTAACAGACCCTTTTTACAACTTGCTTCTAAGAAGAAAATACAATGCTGTGATCGAATGAAAAAGCACACCAGGTGTAGTGTCTAGTAGAAACTGAGTACACTTACAGAACTGGGAATCATTTGTCCAAGTTATAGGTAAACTAGATAATCTGGTTGTGACTCACTTATATTGATACCTCTTTCCCTCACACCCTCCCCACCTACAGGCACATGCTGAGCTCCTTGACTATGATCTTGGTATTCACGATTCTTGTACTTTGTTCTGGAAAACTTGGGTTTGTTTGAGGCTGTTACCATTTTTTGAGAGATGAAGCAAGAGAGCACACGGATGCCTCCTGGAGCTAGGGGTTTCATCTCAGTACAGAAACAGATGAAGAGTATCCAGTAGTTTAAGAGCATAATTGAAAATCTAGCAGGAAGTGGTGCTTTCTAATCATATGATCAGGATATGCGCTGTACAGATTGACCTCTGTATTTAGAGGTGTGATAGTGTATAGATCTTAAAGTAAGAAGAGCATCTTTATTGGAATTGTTTCTTCTCAAAATAAGGGCAGTAATTTTTGGAAGCCACTTACTGAAGCAGCTATTTTAGTTAGGGGCGGGGTTTGCTTTTAAATTGAAGTTACAGGATATGAAGTCTTTAATGGTAAATTTGATGTCTTCTTGCAAGCTGGGTTATGTTCATTGTAAATTAAACACCTGCTGGAAAATGATAGTGTCACTAAATAAGGGGTTTTAAATCTTCTAAGTGTGTAGATTCTGGTTATAGTCAGAAAAATGGTATTGAACAGTATGTCTGTCTGTACCAGACAGATCTTTGTGTTTCATTTCTTCTGACTTAGTAAAAGCTTTGACTGTTCTGCTTGTGGTTTAATTAGCTTTCCAAGGCTAATATGAATCTAAAGAGTGAATTGACAATAGAAGTGAGAAACACCTGCTTGCTTATTCACATTTTTATGGCTCCTCTATGAAATAGGAAGAGAGCAGCTTGATAACCAAATTTACAGTCCTACAATTGGTGCTGGCAAATGATACTTGGAAACCAGCTTAATTCACACCTGCATTGGAAAGGGGAGATAAAGACTTTGCTGACTTCATACAATCATCGTAGAATGGTTAGAGTTGGAAGGGAACATCATCTCATTCCAACCCTCCTGCCCTGGGCAGGGACACCTCCCACCAGCCCAGGTTGCTCCAAGCCCCATCCAACCTGGCCTTGAACACCTCCAGGGATGGGGCAGCCACAGCTTCTCGGGGCAACCTGGGCCAGGGGCTCACCACCCACAGAGTAAAGAATTTCTTCCTAATATCTAATCAAAATCTCCCCTCTTTCAGTTTAAAACTGTTACCCCTTGTCCTGCGGCTACACTCCCTGATAAAGAGTTATTCCCCATTTCCTGTAGCCCCTTTAGGATCTGGAAGGGGCTATAAGGTCACCCCAAGCCTTCTCTTCTCCAGGCTGAACATCCCCAACTCTCTCAACCTGCCCTGACAGCAGGGGTGCTACAGCTCTCTGATCATCTTTCTGGACCTGTTCCAACAGGTCCATGTCCTTTTTATGTTGGGGGCTCCAGAGCTGGACACAGTCATGCACGTGGGGTTGCACCAGAGTGGAGTAGAGGGGCAGAATCCCCTCTGTTGCCCTGCTGGCCACACTGCTGGGGATGCAGCCCAGGATACAGTTGGCTTTCTGGGCTGCAGGCACATATTGCTGGCTCATGTTGAGTTTCTCATCAACCAAGTCCTTCTCCTCAGGACTTCTGATATTTTCTGAACCTTTGAACTCCTCTTGCTGGGTATCTCCTGCCTGTCAGCCATGCGATGGAGCGGTTTGGTGGTGCTTTAGTTTCTACCCTCTCTGCTGCCCATTGACAATTATTGACCTTTTTTTTTTTTTTTTTTTTTTTTTCCTGATGCCTGATATTAAGTCACCTCGCTTACACTGCTTTAACTGGTACAGTAGATCTTACTGTTCTGTTACAGGGGAAATGAGCCATTGAGGGTGCTGTTGCTGCTAAATACGTATAGCAAATAAAGTTCTCCATAGGGAGAAATAAACCTTGCAAACGGGGAATGAGAATATATGCACCAAATCCTGAATGGTCACCAGAGAATAAGCTCAATCTAGTTAAATGTTAGAATGAAAAGCCTGTTGTAAATGAACAGAAGGCATAGAGGGACGCCAGGGTTGCGTAACTTTGTTCCGTTCCTTACTTGTATTGCCTTTTGTTTGTTCCTCGTTCTGCAGCTCTGGGTTCATTTATAAGCAGAGAATTTTAGAAAAACATAGGATTAGGAGGGTCTCCCTGCATAGTAAGAATCCTAAAGCAGGCTGTTATGAGTTAATCACATTCATAAACCTTGAAGTAAGTATATATTTTATTGAAGAAATGTTTGTATTCCATAGCTGTATTTTGTTTTAAAAAGCTGTCTTTGCTCTCTTGTCCCAGAGTCATTCCTGTCCCCATTCATGTTGGTTTTTAGGTTAAACCTGTGTTGTATCTTTTGCTGTAGTGTGAGCCTAACAATCTCAAGAAGGTAAATGAAGGAACTGTAACTACCTTGATTGCTAACTGTATGTGAAATTAACAGCTGTAATTTTCTGTGTAATATGAAGATAAGAGGAGCTAGCTAAAAAGGATATTTTTTTTTCCCCCCATGCAGATGGTTTGTGATGGGCCCACCTCGTTCTGGAACAGGAATTCACATCGATCCCTTGGGAACTAGTGCATGGAATGCCTTAGTCCAGGGACATAAGCGTTGGTGCCTGTTCCCTACCAGCACTCCCAGAGAGCTGATCAAAGTGACGCGAGAAGAGGGAGGGAATCAGCAGGATGAGGCTATCACTTGGTTCAATGTCATCTACCCTAGGACGCAGCTACCCACCTGGCCCCCTGAATTCAAGCCCCTGGAAATTTTACAGAAACCAGGAGAGACAGTCTTTGTGCCAGGTATGTGCAAATCTCCCCGGTAAGGAAATCTGGGAGAGAAAAGCATATTTTTAACATTTGTGTGTAGTAGAGATGAAGAGAATATTTCAGCTTTCTTATGGCCCATCTCTTACAAAAGAAACTGTTTTGAGCTGTTTCAAAAGGGATATATATATATTGTGAGGCACATTTTGAGGCTACTCAGTTATTTTCTGAATGTTCTGAAACATATATGGCCTGTATGGATTGCATGTGGTACAGGTGACAAAACAAATGGGACCTGAGTTGCAGCATCACAGGAATTTGGTCCTGAAGTAAATTGCAGTAATAAGAAACTGTCAAAGCATAAAATAATAGAGGTGTTTGAATACTGGTATTTCTTAGCCAAAATGTTTGAGTTTATATACACTGTAGCAAATTCATGACTGGATTTTGTAGCCTGGGTAGTCTGACTGCCTGTGAATTTTTCTTAGCTGTGGGAAAAGAGCTACTTAAAGGCACTGACACTTTCCACCCACCTCTCTGTGGTTATGCTTCATCTTGCATTTGAAATCAAAAGCTAAAGAAAGATCTGATAAAGATGCCGTTCTCTTTGAGTGGCTGCACACTGTGTCCCCATTATAGCTGGGAGGTGAGGTGGCTAGTGGATAAAGTGGGTGAGTAGAGTGCCAAATTCTAGTTTCTAAACCTTGCGTCATTTTTGTGCAGCATGGCCCATAGCTTCTATCCACATTGTTTGTCTCTAACATACAGCTGACTTCATGTTTGAAGAGTGCCTTGTGATTGTCTTGGCACTTATTAGTGACTCCTCAGTGTACCTTCTGTTAAGATTTTGTAGCTGTCGGGTTCCATTAAACTGTTTCTTTAGTCGTTTTATGAGGTTATAAGTGGGTTGTAAGAACGCCACTGTCTATTTTTGTCCTGTGTGGGGAAACAATTTTGCATCTATTTTTAAATGAAAGGTTAGTCTGTAGTCATAAGAACCTTACTAAATCAGCATGGAAAGTGCTCTCCAGCTTAACAGAGAGGGTCTCTGTGTGGTCTGGGTTACAATGGCTCTTGCTATTAAATAAGCCGTCAGTAGCCAGTGTGTTGCTGTCAAATCAGATCTTCAGTACTGTTCATGAGCTGGATAATTTGGCCAGAGTGTTGAGCAGCCTTCTGTAACAAGAATCTGTAAAGCATTGGAGCAAATGCTGAAATAAGACTGAGGAAAGATGACATGGTGGCAAACTCACCTGGGTTTGGGAGATAAGGTCCAATTTTCACATGTGCTGTGGGAAAAGTGTTCACGGCTGTTCTTGAGTTTTTCTGCTATGTAGCCAGAAGTGGTCATTGGTGTCGTATTTGTAGGTGGCTGGTGGCATGTAGTTCTCAATCTTGACACAACTATTGCCATCACGCAAAACTTTGCCAGCTGTACCAACTTCCCTGTGGTGTGGCACAAGACAGTAAGAGGGAGACCCAAATTGTCACGGAAATGGTACAGGTAAGAGATTTAGTAGCTTTCTTTTCGTATTCTCTATTTAAAACAACACCCGCAGAATACCCTATTTGTTTCTGTGTGGTGTTGCTGTTCAAAGGCGAACCCTGAAATTTCAACTGTATTTAGGATCCTAAAGCAGGAACATCCTGACTTGGCAGCCTTGGCTGATTCAGTTGACCTGCAGGAATCTACTGGTATTGCTTCCGATAGTTCTAGTGATTCTTCCAGTTCCTCAAGTTCCAGCTCCTCAGATTCCGATTCAGAGGTAATGTTTTCTACTACAGTAGGTGATCCATATCCTGTTGTCTTTTCCATACCTGATCATGTGTCCTCATCCTAATATTAACATCTTATGGAAGAAATTAATAGAAAGCAACTAAACAAATCTACATGGTGGAGGAGCCTGTCGTTTTAGCAGGTTCTGTTTGCTGAAGCCTCTCTTTGTATTGCTAAATGAATTTAGTTGGTTTCATTTATGTTTGTATTGTATATAAATCTGTCACTCATTTAGCTAAGCCATGCTTGTGTAAAATGGCTGCAAAATGGATCTTTTAAAATTGGGAAGGGGGAACAAGATCCAAAACTGAGACTGTCAGTTATGACAGGGGACTTTTCTAGGCACCTGAATGCTTCAGAAAGCACCGAGTCTGCTCTCGGAAAATCAGGTCCTTCTGGGAGCCAAAACGAATGCATCAGTTATCTTGCACCAAGCCAGCTTAATCAGTGATGAAATCTAAGTTTAAATTTTATTTCATGTGTCTAATCTAAAATAGCATGTTCTTTGAATATTGGTTATTCAGGGTTGCAGAGGTAGCTCTTATGGTGAATTCCACAGCACAAAGAGTTTACTAGCTTTCTCTGAATTCTGTTTTCATCTCTTCATACTTCAGTGTGACTCTGGCTCTGAGACAGAGGGGATGATGCACCGGAGGAAAAAGAGGAGAACGTGCAGCATGATGGGTAACGGTGATACAACTTCCCAGGATGACTGCGTGAGCAAAGAGCGCAGCTCCTCCAGGTGACCCAATGGCAACTGTTGGTTTTTAAACAAGCAAAAGACAATACAAGGCAGAGCTGGCAGAGTTAAGATAGGGTGGTTCGTCAGGACAGAGGGATGGGGAGCAAGGGTGTCCCTTACAGAATGTAAAGCAGCTGGCCAGTGGTGATATTTTCCCTCCATGAATTCTTTTAATCCCTCCAAACTGAAAACTGAGATTCTTGATGTTTTTAAAAAAATTAGGTGGTTTACTTTATTAAATAAACGGGTTTATTGCTTTTCCTAGTTGTCTCTTTTAATAGAGCAATTATTTTATTTTTTGTAATTGGTGAGGTGGGATATTTTAACCGTGCTTTCCAGAGAGCACAAATGAATAGTAAACAGTTAAAGATGAGGCAAGATCAGGCAAGACTCAGGTTTCAATGCCTTATTGTCCAAATGGAAAACCTTCAAGTAGTTGTACAGTTTCTCATATTGTTGCTTGCATTACTTCAAATTGGCCCACTCTTTTATCTGTTAAAGGCAAAATTCATCCCAAGTCACAAGTGTCTGGTTTTACCTTTTTTTACCTTTTTTCCTTTTTTTTTTTTTTTTTTTTTGTTGTTTTTTTTTTTTCTAGTCAGTCTGGAGGGAGGGAACATTAATATTGCAGAACCAAGAATAGATACTGCTTAGGGTAAAGTTGCCGAGGAAGGAAGTTCTCTGGACTTGCCAGGTTAAAAAGAGTGAGACACTGGGAATCTAGGGGTACACTGCAGGGAGAAACTTAGAAATTCTTTGCTAAATTAAGCCTTTTTTTCTCGTATAGCAGAGGCTTGCCAAAATTCTTAAGCAAACTCCTTGCAGTTTGGTTAACCGATGCTGTTGTATTAGCTGCCTGCCTGCATTAGGGTACTGTCTAGTTCTTGAGCTGTTGGATACCCCAGGTTTGGCATGGATGCAAGTGCTGTGGTGACTTACTGTGCAGCCTGTGAACGAAGGTGTGCAGTAGTAATTTACCTGAGGAAGTCCAGAGTCTATCATGCCTGACTTCCCAGTGTAGGGTACTGCCTAAAGACCTGTTTGCTCCTGTACATGTTGCCGTTTATCTTGCTGTGATATACTGCTCTCGTTTCCAGGAGTTGCTCATAACCGAGTACAATTGAATTACAAGTACAGAGCATCGTTAAACAGTTGGAGAGAACTGTACTGACTGCTTATTTTCCTCTGGAGGTTTTAACAATTTGTTTGCTATGACATTGTCAAATCCCATTTCAGCGGCCAATTGTCACTGCAGGCAGGGAATGAGCAGCAGGAGATAACAAGCCTTAATGCAGACCCTGTTTTTTTCGTGGTTTTTTTGTTGTTTTTTTTTTTTTTTTAAAAAAGAGCTGCAGCAATGTAGATCTGTTCTTCTGAAAATCCCGTGCATTTTTAGGCTGTTTGCACTTCAAATTTTGAAATCAGTATCTTAAATATAACAAACTAGCACATTGCCCAGAACACTTGCTTTCCAGGTTTAACTGTTCTTCCTCCTGTATGTTGATTGTTTTGCTCTGTGAGGATGGGTGGGCTTTCTGCTCCAGCTGTGTGATGGATTAGTTGATAGAAACAGTTCCAAACAAAATCTTCTCTGGCTTGTACAATTCTATAGGAAAAATAAGCATACAATTAACCTGCACGCTGTGATCTTTTGTGCTGATATGAGGGGAAATGCTATAGTTGTTGACAGGCAGTTGTACTTTTTTTGACAGGATTAGGGAGTCTTGTGGAGGCCGCAGCTACCCCTGAGAGATAACAACACCCGCCTAGAGGCAGCTGCCGGTCGAAGCTCCGTTAGCAGCCAGCCAGCTCTGTTCTACCCCCTTCTGCTTCTGTTTCTCACAGTCCTTAAGTTTTTGTCACTCTTCCTCGACCCAGACATCCGTCTTCATTATGTGCTGTCGAAGGTTGGCTCCTTAATAACTTGTAGGGGAATGCCCCGACTCTACGTTATAGTGCAATGCTTTGTCCCCTCTGCGCCCCAAGTGAGTGCACTAATAACCCAGCTTTGGGTAAGGACACGCCAAGTATTTAATGGTTCATGTAACTGGTAAGGAAGACAACGGTCAGTTTTTAAAGAACTCTTTTTAAAAACAGCAGGTAAATCTAAAAACCTGCTTTGCTTTGACACTGTCATATGTTTACATGTTGTCCTATACACTTGAGGAAAGGAACACCAGCCCTTTTGGCCTATCCGAATGTCCGGTGGATCTCGCACCAGAATTTCAGGAAGGGAAGGTGGAATGAATGCTCCAAACACTGAAGCAACTTCAGCGGAGGTGACCACCGACCTGAAGCATCTTTTGTGGTCTTAATCTATGCGCATACATCTAAAGTGCAACACCTTAACCAGCAACAGTCCATTTACTTTTGCTCTGTGTCTGTTATGATGACTGGTAACAAAGATGCACTAGCACCTTGCGATAGGAAGCTCAATGGAGCAGGAGAATCCTGGAGTTTCTTGCACAGCAAAACCTGTAGGGGAAAATGTCAGCATTTGCCAGTAATTACAATCCTTCAGGTGCAGGTGTGATGTTTAGCACTAGGCAACAACTGACAAAGTCTCACTCTTACATGATAACAACAGTTGCTGGGCTTTAAATACGGGCAACAACTGACAAAGTTGCATAACAACAGTTGCTGGGCTTTAAATACCAAGCAGTCATAGGGCCATGGGCTCATTCAGGCCAGTGCATTTCACATATCTAAATGGCTTTTCTTTGAAGTTATGGGTTCAGATGTTTCCAGAACTTGTGGTGCCAATTTTAAAGGACTGGGAGGGGGGCATATTGTTGTTTTATGCTTTTTAAAAATGCAATGTGTTGCTTACGTCTGTGTAGATGCGTTTGTATTATGCCGGGTAAAGCTCTCATCCCCAAGGGATCTGTTGGAGCTACTGGGGTTTTTTTAGCAGGGGCTTGTGCTGGTGGTGTCAGCAAAGAGGTCTGGCTGGCTGAAGGTGTGCTGCAAGGAAACGATCCTTCTTCTCTATCTGAACAGCACAGCCAGAAGATAGCTGGGTTGTGGTGCTTCCTTGGGTGCTCTCCTGGGACCTAGGAGGTGGGTATTAGATCTCACTTCAGCCATTCTTCTTTGGGAGAGGAAACTTGAAAGCGGAAGTAGTATGCCTGTACTAAACATGCAATAATGCCCAGGCACTGGTAGTGCAATTACAAAGCAGATTGGCAGCCTTAACTGTGAGTTTCTTATGCACGTTAGGTTGGATGGAACTCAGAATATTGCTTGTCTGGGTTTTCTGATCCTTTTCTTAACCTTGTCTCTTCCTATTTAAACACTCTCTTCCTTCTTGGAGACTGGGCCATATCCCATTGTATAAGGGAATCTTAAATACGTTTGTCAGGATCTTTTGTTTCCAAATCTTCTGTCCCAGCCACTTTGTGTAGGAGCAGTGTGGTGGTGAACAAATAGAAAGAGAGAAGGTTTATTGGTACACTCCTTAGCTGTCCAGACTCCTGAATTTACTGTGATAGCCAGGCATAAGTGAGCACGCTTGCTCTGTAGACTGCTGCAGATTCTTCCACAATATTACTTCATTTTCAAAAAAACTTCTCAAACTCCTGGCATTTCTGGCCAAGGTTGCCTTTTTTCCTGCCCGGTTGAACAGCCTGGGAGCCTGCACAATCTTTATGTCTTCTCAGACAGAGCAGACTGCAGCTTTTGGAAGAATGTTGGAGCCTGGAGAGGTGAAGGCTCAGAAGTTTCAGCTCTGTCACCGTGAGGGCAGCCCTTAGAGCTGTCCACCGCCCTCTTTGGTGGCTTGACTATCAGTATGTACAGTAAGATGGCTTATGCTGTAGCTTGCAATTGCATTTGGCATGCACAGTTGAGTTTTCCAGTCTTAAAAATCTTACATCTGCATGAAAGTCTGATTGCTGTGCTGGGAAAGCCACACCTCTACCACCAGAAGCACAATTGGAAGATGTAGAGTGCAAAGTATTCTTCCGTGCCTATGAACTCTTCCATGGTGTGAAATAAAACAATTTCAGATTGAAGCCTATGTTCATTTGACATCGCTCGCAGAAAAGCAGTGTGTTTGAAATGGACTGCAGGCATCGTGATACCATCAATGCTGTACTGACTTCTCCACAAGACACTTTCTGGTATGAAACAAAGGAGTATCTGTTTAGGCTACCTGAGCATCGTGACTCCTGGGATTCTCTGGTTCTTCTGCTTACAGGCTCTCGCCTCAGCTGAATCGGTGAGCTTCTGTCTTTGTTTTAGTAGATGAGGAAAATACCTACCTCACAGGGGTGTTGTGAGGCTGAGATGTATTTACTGTGTAAGATGCTTTGAAGTCGTCCTCCCACAAAAAGTGTTCCAGACATCCTAAGCAACCTGAGACTTCCTAACCTGGTGTTAGCTTTCTGTAGCAGGAAACATTGGGGATGTTGTTCAGCACTCTTGGCCACGTGGTGTTCCGCAGTGGCTCTTCCAGAATTGCTGTGTGGTACATAAATTGTCACAGAACAAGGCTTTTTGTTTTCACCAGAGTTTAACTGTTGGCATTTCATGGCCTGCTCTAAAGAGGAGGTCCTGCTAGACTGGGATCTTTTTAAAATAGGACTAGCATAAATTATCTCTTATCAGAGAGTCAGCTTCCCTGGCCTTACAGGAAGAGAGGGAGCTGGTGCTTCCCAGGCCCTCGTTCCAGGCCAGGTGAATGGGGAATAAAGTTAAAAACTGTGGTCCCCTTGTGCCTAGCTCTGTGCTCATGGGAGGCTGACTGGGGAGAGTGGGTTTTGTGCTCTCGCTTCTCCAGGCTTGTGCTTCTTGGGGCATCCATATCTCCTACTCCAACCCCACTGCTTTTGTGTACTGTAGAGCCCCTGGATGTAGCAGGCTGCTGTGGTCCAGCACCCAGACCCAGTGGGCCCCTCATTTCCTTGAGCCCCAAAGCAGCAGTGCTGCTCCACCTCAGCCCCCGCTGGCGCTTCGTCAGCCCTGTGGTACTTCGTGGGCTGCCTTGTTCCCCAGGGACAGCTTAGAGAGCCGCGTGCTGCGTTTGGACCATGGTCTTCCCGATTGTACTGTTGGTATCGGTGTCATTGTCCTGCCTGCTCTGGTGAGAGGTAAAGGGATTTGTGAGCTCTGGCTGTGCATTTGAGTCTGGTAACGAATGCAGGCTTGTCTGCTATGACAGTTCAGGAGTAAATGCGTAAATACCCTGTCGGAACTGTAGATGTGAACAACCGGCACGCCGATCTCGGCACCTGTTCTCTGCACAAGTGCTCTGGGAGCAGGTGACGTGGAGGAAGCACTGGCATACCTTCCTCCCTTTTCCAGCTCGGGTATGCTGGCTACAGTTTGTCTTCTCAGTTACATTAAGCCTCTTCAAATGCTTAGAAGAAAGACAGCAACCTCTTTCATAATTAACGTAGACATTTTTCCTCCCTGAATCCCCAGCCATCGTGGGGCAGGAAGCAAGACTGTTGACTGAATCAAATCTGAAATGTCTGTGTGGGCTAATTGTAATGGGAGGTTTTTGGCATCCCCCTTGCAAAGGGGGGAAGGAAAGAGCTTACCGATTTGTTTGATGGTCATGGTCACGCTGTCAGCTCCAAGCCCTGCCACTGCCGTTAGCTGCTTTTATCACCCCATCCAGCAGAGCTGGGATATTCTTAATTGTCTTGTTTGGATGATTGTGTTTTTGCTTTTTATTTTAAATAAAATCAATTATTTTGCATTATCCTGTTGGCTAGTCACTTTTTTTTTCCCATCGTGATCTGAAAAAAACCTACAGATGTACACCTCTGTTTCCCAGAGCACTACAGTATGCTAAATGGTGTTCAGGTAACAGCTATAGGGGTGCTTTGGGAACTCTCTCTAGCTCTTTCTTGGCCTGTGATTAGTATGTCTGTATGGTGGGGTGTGTTTTGGAAGCTGCTGGGACTGTGGTGGCTTTGGGAGAAGGTTTGTGTCCGTAGCTTTGTTACCAGACTGCAATGTGTGCTTTTGCCCCTTCCCTCTCCTCCCCAGGCTGTATTACAAGATGCCTTCTGTTGTATTTCTCTCGCCACCTCATACTGATGAGAGGGGGTTTCATCTTCCAGGTGTCACATATGGTTTCTGGCTTAGCTTTTAGATAAGATGTGCGGTTTAGAGAGTGGTTGTGAAAGGGCCAGACTCCAAGCAGAGAGCCTTCTGCCGGGTGCCTGGGGGTTCAGGGAGAGAGCTGCCTCTTAATGAATTTGGTTGGGAAAGTGGAAAAACTTGTATATTTTTGTTATTGAGCTCTGTTGAAACCAGTAACTGTAGGTAAATAAGCTGAAGGAGAGTGTGGGACAGCAGCCTGGAGGCTTTTGAAATACTTATATCGTATATTGAAGAATGAACCACTGTGAAGAGTAAATGGTTTTGTGGCAGCAGGCAGCAAGTTTGCTGATTTCTGTGTAAACTTCTGTCCTTCCCTTCCCAAACACTCATGTAAACACTTTTCTTGATTACTGTCACCTATAAAAACAATTTTATTTTTTTCTCCTTTCCAATTGCTCTTCAGAAGATCTCTCCCCGTCCCCTGTTCACATCCTCTGCTAGATGCTGTAGCTCCCTGCAGCCAGGCAGTCACAATTAGCAAATGAGCCCCTGCTCCCCGGGTGGGCACTCCAGGCGTGTCAGTGCTTGGCATTTAACAAGACCCAATTCCAGAAAATGGTATAAATTGTGATGGCTGAAAACAATGTTAGAGCCATTGTACAAATGCTTTTGTAACATATCTCCTTCTGCTTTTCGTTCCCAAGAGAGGCGATTTTGTGTGCGCCCAGCTTTAAGATCATCCCATAGTTCTTCCTGATTTGCAGATACTGCTGGTACCTCCCTCAGTGCCACTGTGGCCTTGCAATTGAGACTTGATTTATTTTTATTCCTCTGATTTATCTAACTATCTTCCTTTTTGTGACAATTGTACCCTAATGCCTCGTTTCAACAAGGAGGATGGCATACTGATTTTTTTTTTTTTTTTTTTTTAATTGCTACCCGGGAGCCAACAGGACATGGTTACCCGAGTTGGAATGTGGCGGTTGGATTGTCTGAGCTGCATCCTTGCTGATGTTCTTGCTCCTGTCCTCTGGTTTGACATAAAAGCAAATAACTACTGGTATTTCTCTTGTGGCAGTTAGGAAGCAAGTCACAAAGAGAACAGGGCTGCATTCCACTTGGGTGTTAGCCACAGCACTAAGTAGCTGTGTGTTTTAAGACTGCTTTGGGATTGAACTAATATGCTTGCAGAATCTCACCTTTATTTCAAGGCATGTAAAGACTCCTCTGTGGGACTGCACCTCCTGTTTCTGGAGAAGTGTAAATTGAGGCAGGTAGAGCTGATTGGAAATGTGTTCAAAAGGCAATAATCATTCCATGTCCCTTCTGGTTTGAGAGGTGGCGGCTCCCCACCTGTATGTGATGCCTGTAACTGT